TGCCATTGCTAATTCAAACTGTTTATCAAAGAAAAGGCTTTTCCTTGATGAGATTCATTTTAGTGCTAACCTCTAGAAAAATCTATAAAATGACTATGTGAAATATTCTACAAAAGTTTCACTTATCTAGATAAACTTTTTCATGCTGCACACTTGGGGGCCGGGGAATGGCTCAGTGGTACAGCACTTGCCTAGCGCACGGGAAGCCATGCATCTGATCCCCCGCACAGTACAACAACAGAAACAAAAAATCTATGAGCAATTTCTATCCGTAATGGTAAACATCAAATGTGGAAGAAAAAAAGAAATCAAGTTTGAAACAGAAAACAGGCAGTGTGGGAATCTGATTTTAGCCTGAGCACCAATCCTTGGGCAAATCTCCCACGCTGTATCTGACACTCAACTTCTTCATCTTTTGGAGAGTCTGGCCTTTTACTCACTTGAGTAGAGGAGCTCTACAGTGCGTATGACCATTTATTATCATACTTTAGTTACCTACATTTGTGGAATTTAAAATGGTGATTCAGTATCTTATCAAAATGTAGGGGGTTGGGAATATAGCTCAGCGGCAGAAGCACTTACCTGGCAAGCACAAGGTCCTGAGTTCAATTCTAAGTAATATAGATATAGATATAGATATATATCTGTTTGAATACCGAGTGTAGTCTGAAATTTGTGGGATTTTTTTTTTCCTATCTTTCTGAGACAGGCTCTCTCTATGCACTTCAGGCTGGCCTTGAGCTCACTTTGTGGCCCAGGCTGGTCTCGAACTAACAAGGTCCTCCTGCCTCAGCCTCCCAAGTGCTGGGATTACAAGCATGCACCACCGTGCCTGGCAAGGATTACATTTTATAAACTCTGGGAAGTTTTGTTTTAAGCAGGAAACATAATTGTTATAAAACCTCTGTTGACAAGGCACTTGTTTTTCAGTAAAAATTACCTTATGAAATGTAGAAAATATAATGTGTCATTTGGTAACAATATATTTACACCCCAATCCTAACCTAAAATGTATTCTAACCAAATAAAATTCCTTTTAATAAGCTTCCAAAATCTTATTTTAGCCATTGCTGTTTTGCAGCAATAACTCAAGACTCCATCTGGGAACTGAGAATGTGATAATAAAATGCCAAGGTCTGGGTCAGTTCTCAACTGAACACACCTGGCTTCTCTCCACTGGCATCAGGTGAGAGGCAGGGAGTTGAGCAATCCAAGAGCATACTGCACCCTGAAATCACCAGCAACACCTGCTGCAACGTGAAACTTTCCATCTAAACGTCTCTGTTCTAACTGGTTTACTAAGTTCTGCTGCACATTGTTTGCTGAAATATTTGCCACCTTACAGAATGCCTCAAGCAACAGGTTTTGAACCTGTTCCATCCAAACCACCCCCACTTCCAACAATGTCTCCAGTGAAAAAAACAAAAACTCTAGGGCTGGATGTTTGGCTCATCGGTAGAGCGCTTGCCTGGCACCTGGGAAGCCTTAGGTTCCAAAAACAAACAAAACCCGCTAACCAAAAAACCACACTCCTAATGAAACAGAGAGAGAATGTCCACAAACGCCTGAAGAGTAAGTGATTGGCTGTGGTCATAATCAATTACAAAGAGGGAAAAAGACCAAAATTCAAAGAAGACAGTCTCAGACAAGAGTACCTCCTCAACATCTAAAGATTTCAAGCCCAGGTGCGGTGGCGCACACCTGTAGTCCCAGCACTTGGGAGGCTGAGGCAGGTGGATTGTTGCAAGTTCAAGGCCAGCCTGAACTGCATAGCAAGACCCTGCCAAAAAAAGGACAATCAATCAATCAATCAACAGGTTTCTTGTGTCATTTCATGACAGTGCATGGTATATTATGCTAAAGGAGAAAAAATCAGGGCAAGCCTAAGCCATCAAGCTCAATTTTCTTAATGAGGATACAACAATATAAAGCTTAATCTCCTTGACGTTTGAACATAGTTGTCACTTAGCACGAGCACAGCACCACAGAAACTGTCAGACGTTTCAAGGGGCGAACACCAATCAAAAAGCCTGGCTATGATACAGGAAAGCTTCTCTTCGTTCTTTTCCCCCAAGCAGCTCTTCTGATTGGAAGTGCCCCCCTTCTCGTTGAAATAGCTCCTTGCTGATTGGCCCCTGATGAAGACCACAGCTGTCTCCTCACTGCAGAAAGCAACTCTCAGCCAACTTTCCTCCTCCAAGTCTTGTCTCCCCGGTCTTTGTTTACTGGGTTCTTTCTATTGCTTTTCTCTCCCTTCGGTTTTCTGATACCCTACAATCCAGTTCCACATGCAAAGCCATCTGTTCGGCCAGGCCCGATAATTTTTCACTCTTCCCTCTCTTTCGTGCCCGGAGTCAAGTTCCATCTGCCTGTTGGGACCACCTCTCATGCTCCCCGTCATGACTTCCCACCTCCTCACCCAGCACCTCCGCCTTGCAACTGTGCTCTCGCGGCCAGTTTACCTTCCTCTTCTGCGCCCCGAGTCCCCCAGCAAGATCACAGCACACTTCTGGAATGGCTTTCATGGGGCAAAGAGCATGCATTCGCCCTCCAGTTCCTGCTCCCTGGATGAAGACGCTTCTGAGCGGCTTTTACGCCTCTGCCCTCTGTGGAAACCCCACAGCAGGCAGGCCAGCGTGGAGATTAAGAGGGGCCCTGGGCTAAGGCTGGGCTGCCCCCGCTATTGTATGTCTCAGCCTCCACTTCTTGTCTGTAAAATGAGGATGGCAGCACTAGCTACCCCTTAGTAAAGTTTGAAGATTTAAAATTGTAAAAATTCCAACCACAGAAGGGCTGGCTGTCACCTTGAGTCAATTCCACCTCCTGGTCTCCCTCCCGAGCCCGGGGCCTTCGCAGCATTCAGCAGCTCTCTAAGGGAGAGCTTTCCCCAAAGGCAGAAGCCTCTCGGTGAACCCTCCCTGGGCCCTCCACACAGCCCAAGCTGCTGTATTACACAGGCCTTTCCCTCTGCAGCAATCTGCGAGTTGACCTGTTTGTGTGTTTAATCTCTATCCTACAGGTCTGCTCCTCTTGGTTTTAGGAGTTCATTCCCCTGCTGCCATAACTACTTCCTGAGTTGAGGTATCTCAAGCTGAGGGCGAACCAGGAGGAGAGAAGCGAGTGGGATTAAAAACCCTTTGCCCCAGTCTTCTTGTGAGATAGTGAGGAATGTCTGGATTTTACAAGGCCTCATCTTTCTGTGGGTCTTGAAGTAGGATGGTGGCCCTGAGAGGACAAGGGCCGTGAAGAAAGGATATAAGGGTAAAGGGAGAGAAAGCATGTATTATGCTCAGTTAACTCTCTCCCTGCACAACTTCCTGTGTTAATTCAGTCAGGTTAATGCAATTATCTTAGGTATTCTGAAAAACATCCTTATTTCAGAATAAGGAAGCTGGGGTTCTAGAAATAATAACACTTTATTACTTTGAGGGTCAAGTTACAGTGCCCGGGCACAATGCCCTGGAGGGTGGAGATTGCAACATGGTCAGCTTCTTGGGAGATTGCCCAACCCCTGTCCTCTTGTTTTGATTTTCAGTTTACAGTTAACTATTAGAAGACAAACTGCTGCAGAATTTAACACCTGACCAGGTGAGGTTTGAATGTATGTGGTTGATTGAAATGGGGAAGACCTGCAGACCTTCCTAGAGGCACTTTGGAATCCTTATCTGCTCTCCCGAGAGCCCAGGCCAGCCTTAATAGCTGGATGACTAGGGAAGCTCACAGTGCTGCTTTGGTTTTCATGCTCAAGCTAAGAAACACCTGAAAGACATCAATTCCAGCAAACTGAGGAAACAGGGCAGCTGGATCGAGCGAGTGCAACGTGGCCCACGGCTACAGAAAGGGAGGCGTGCCATTCAAAAGCAAAGAAATCAGGTTGAACCACTTCTTTCTTGGCCTGAGTGACTAAAATACAGTAAGCCTTGCAAAGGAACAGGAAATTAAGTAGATTGCTGTCTGGGAGCTCTCCTGGGTTACAGGGAAGCCCAGCCACCAGACCCACACTGTGCAGGCCCTGCTCGTGAGCTGTCCTGGCCGCTTGCACATCTGCGGCATTATTGAGAAGCTGGTTCCAGGTCAGGGGCTGATTGCTGTCCAAGTTCACGCCTGCCTCACGTTCGCCCCTTCTCCTAAGTTCTGTGATATCCTTGTGCCTCCCTACCCAAGGGAAACACCCGCCTTGTGTTTTCAAGGAATCCACAACCAGCCTGTTTTTGCTTTAAACAATGAAAGTCCAAGTCAGATATGTTATCTTTATCATTTTCAAAGTAGTTCAAAAACACCAATTCTGCGTCTGAAGTTCTTTAAAAACTCACCATCAAAAGGTAAAATAAAGGTAGATTTACTACCAACAGGAAGCAAATCCATTTCTTCATCTGACTGTGAAATATAGGTCAGCTTGCCTCCTTCAGAAAGGCCGCTTCCAAAAGCCCTCAGTGGCCAGGGTTGGTGGTGCACAGCTGTAATCCCAGCATCCTGGGAGGCTGAGGCAGAAGGATCCCAAGTTCCAGCCCAGCCTAGGAAACTTACTGACTTAGTGAGGTCCTGTCTCAAAATGAAGTAGTAAAAGGAGAGGGCTGAGATGTAACTCAGTGTGAGGACCCTCGGGTCAAACCCCAGGACTGGCAAAAAACAAAATGAGAAACATACGAACAAAAAAGCCCTCACTGAAAGCTGCACAGGCTCCTCTAATGTTTCCCGTGTCGTCATGAATCCCACTTTTATCCAAGGAAAGAAAGCGCTCAGGAGCTAAGGTGCTAGTCAGCAAATTCAAACAAACGCTAACCTTCGGGGTTAGTTCATCACTAGCCATTACCAACTTTCCCAAGCTAAAACACTTTCTGTATAATAAAATCAATTTTAAATTAGAGGGAGCACTGCCCCGGGCACACTGGCGGCATGGACAGGTTGGAGTGAGGAGCGAATGCTCTCTCTCAAGGGTCTCTTGGGGACCCTCTCGGCCACCTGGCTCAGCGGAGGAACTCGAGCCCCGCACCGCTCACCTGTCCTCGAAGCACACGGTGCACCTCCAGGCACGGGTCCCGCGCAGGCGCACACGGCACTCGGAACACACACGCTGGCTGCAGCCCCGGCACACGGCGCCGCGGTTCAGCAGCAGCCCCAGGATGCGCTGGCAGCGCGCGCAGCACTTGTCCTTGCACTCAGGGCCGGAGCCCTTCACCCCTGGCCACCGGAGATGCTGCAGGTGCGTCTTCAGTCTCCTGCAGCCCAAGGAATCAAAGAAGATAGGTGGGTGGAACAGCGGCGGCCAGACCTCCGACGAGAGAGCGCCTAGGCTGAGCCGCGAGGGGCAAGGGAAGGGGCTCTTGGCACTGACGTCCCTGGGTTCCGGCGTGGCTGTGGGAGCGGGGCTCGGGGGCTTCTCAGCTGTGAAGCAGGAGACTAGCTTACCTCGCAGGTGCCCGGAGCCTCACACCGCAAAGCGTAAGCAGCGTGCCGGACCCGGGCCCTTCCGTGCTTAAGAACCGTGAAAGAAGAGGGAAGGACATAAAAAAGGGCATCCAGCTGCGTGTGGTAACACGTCGCGGTGTTTCTGGAGGCTGAGGCAGAAGGATTGCAAGTTCAACCCCAGTCTGGGCAATTTAGGGAGACCCCGTCTCAACAAAGGGCTGGGGATGTAACCCAGGGTAAAGGGCCTGTGTTCAATCACCAGTACTCCGCCACCACCCCGCCACCCCGCAAAGACAGCCTTTTTAATATACAGGCATGGGGAGGTCTAGAAACATGCAAGATGGCATATTTCCTGCTATTGTGGTAAATTACCCAATAAAATTATTTAACTGATGCTTTGCTTTGGCTACTTTTTTCCCCTTAATGGGTGGTCAGTGCCCTTTTAGCCCCTACTTCCTCTAGGCCAGAAGAGGCTGTAGTGCCAAGACCCTAGAAGGTGTCATTCTCCACAGTGCTCTCACATGAAACATCTCCATTCCTTGCTTTCAGAAGAGATAAGCTAAGGTCAAGGGAAAAGGTTACATCAGAAAGGTACTTTACAGTTCAACTTCTTTTGATTTTCCCTGGAAACAGTACTCTTTGAAACAAACCTCCCTTACCCCAGTGTCCATGCTATGCTGATCATATTCAAAACGTTGTCTTCAAGTTACTGAAAGACCTTGAATCATCAGGGAATGTTGCATTTTTGTCAATGTGTTATAATTTCTAATGGGCACAAGTTTACTAGTACACTTTCAGAGCTCTGAAATACCAAAGGAGGACAGAAAGAGTATTGCACCTTCCAGTCAATCAGAAAATTTCTCTTGTTCCTCAAGCATTTGGTTGTACAGAGTTTTATTCTATTCATTTTGTCTTCTTTTTGGAGACAGGGTCTCACTCTATAACCAAGTTGGCCTCAAATTCACGTAGTTCTCCTGCCTCAGCCTCCCAGGTGCTGGAATTACAAGCCTGTGCCACCACACCCAGCTTGTACTAAGTTTTAGAGTGTGTGTTTTTCTTGGCAGATTTTGCAAGACTTCTGGCATTAGAAACCAAACCAAACAACAAATCCCATTGGCTTGCAGGCAGAGGTGCTGGGGATTGAACTCAGGGCTTTGCCCATGTTGTTCACACACATTACCACTGAGCTCCACCCCCAGCCCGTGTACTTATTTTTATATCTCATATCCTCTGTAAACATCGTAAATAACCAACAAGCACCCTGGACTTAAAGGTGGATCTTGACAGCTAACAATGGGCAGCTCTGGTACCACCTGGCACAGCCTTAAGTGTTATTCAGGTCGCACCGCTCATCCAACTTAGAGACAGGAAAGGAACTCACTATTGACAAAGCAGTCAGGGAACAGGCTAAGCAGGTTCGTGCTTCCTGCTCCCTTTCCTCAAAGCCAGCTGGGAAGCAAAGCAAGCAAAGCAGTGAGGCAGCAGTGGATTCCATCAGATGTGCTGTTTCTAAGCCACTTTCTTTGTGTCTTCAGGTGCCACCAAAAAGTAACGTAGGAAAACTCTAAACCCACGGTCTTTCGCTTGGGGGAGGGACCAGAAGCCTGAAAGTGCTGCTTGAATCACTTCCATAAAGTAGGCAAGTGGAAGAGCGGGTGGCCTGCAAGCAGTACCAATGGCACCCTTTGCAATGAGGAGGAAGGGCAGCCTCTCTTTTTCCTTACCACGTTTCAGGTTCCGGTCAGTAGCAAAGCTACCTCCGCTCACAAGCCCACCCTAGAGCCTTCTCAGTCAGAAGCCCAGCGGTGGGTGACCAGCACCAAGCAAGCAAGCACCAATTAGCCAAGGTTCCAGGCCGGCTGCGGCGACCCCAAGACCCCAGAGACCTGCACGCGTTAGCAGGGCAGCTTACCGTATCCTTTCCTCCTCTACGTTCTGCACAGCCTGATCGCGGTAGAGGACCTGCAGGATGACTTCCCGCTCTAACTCCTTGAGGGAATCCAGGTTCACTTCATGGGCCATTTCCTTTCCCTCTTCTTGGACCCAAATTGGAAGATTTTCACGGTCCAGCTGGCGGTGAGCACCAGCGTCCAGCTGCACCCCTGCGTTCTTGAAAGAGCCCCTCTCTGATTTCACTGTTGCCTGTGCTCTGCTTGGAGCTCTTCTTTCTCTTCCAACTGGGTCATAGTCCCTGGAGCACACAGCTCCCAGAGGCTGTCCCTCTGTAGGAGCCACTGGCACCGGGGAGGGTTTCCACTGGGTTTGGCCACAGCCTCTGACATCCGCCTGAGACCAGAGCATATCTTTTTTCTGAGGTTTTGCCAGAGATTGTTATAAATTATGCATGGCTCCGAGCAGATAATTTCTGCAAAGCAAAGCAATCTCCAACCTGAGGAAGTTTACAAATAGCAGTAAGAAGGGGATAAGTGACTTATGAAAGCCAATCTTCCTGTGAAGTGTTTCCAGGTGAGCAGAAATGACAATCAAAGGGCCAGCTGGCTCAATACCTGTAGAAAAGACAAGAAAACACAGTGTCATCTCTCCCGGTTTGCATAGCTCTGCAGCTTCAAAAACAGACAAAAGCTTGTACATTGACAAATCTGCACTTTCTGCTGTAGTGACAACGTAAGATTTTAAATTTAATTAAATAAGACGCATTACATTCAGAAGTTCCACACTTGGATTTTTCCTAATGTGAATTCTGTATCCTCAGATGGTCATGGTATGAAGGTCTATGTTTAACATACAATCATTGTCACTTAGTGATAGGATAAGTTCTGAGAAAAATGTCATCAGCCAATTTCACCACTGTGCATCATAGAGTTCACCAACCTAATGCCACAAACCTAGGTGGTCTAGGCGATGTGTGTGTGGCTTAGCCTATTCCTCCTAGGGAGGTGATGAACACACAAGAGATCAGATCAGCCACAAGAGAAAAATGGTGCGATCCAAAGGTGCAGTACTCTGGGCCACTAAGGCCGGAAGATCACAAGTTCAGACCCAGGATGGGCAACTCAGTGAGACCCTGTCTTAAAAAATAAAAGGCTGGGCTATAATGATTTGAGCAATCTTTCATTCTCACATCTGGTAATCTGAGCACTGTAGTTGAGG